ATCATAAAACAGTGTCTCAGTCATCAGGCAGTGAATTCATAACCATTTCATGTAGGAACTTTCTGTGAGGGAGCTTTTAGAGGTGGACGTCTGGTTCCTATCACCACCACTGTGAACAGTTCTGACTCTGTAAGTTTCTGAAGTTTCACACCAAACCACTCTGAATGACTTTGTTTACATCTTTGCAGACATTTTGGAAAATCAATAGAATCCCTTTTTATCCTTCCCTGTAGCAGGTTAGGCTCAAGTTTATGCAGCAAACTGAGCTTAAAGTTATATGGTTAAGCAAGAAATCTTGCTCTGTGAGACACTTATGTTTAAATATTTGTCTAATTTACTATTTTTGTGTTTTTCACTTCTTTCTTCACTTCTTCATTCATTCAGTTTCTGCTAGACATCTATAATCTAATTTTTCCTTCTCTTAATTCAGCAAAAACGGATGCAGAGCACAGCCTAGAGAACGGAAAGCATCACAAGGGCAAAAGAAGCCATGAGAGGAGACAGAAACGCAAGAGAAGACGTAAAATCTGAGTGCGCTCGTCTCCCAGTGCACTGCTAGATAACTGCTTCTGCGCTGGAAATCATGTAGAGCATTTAAAACGCTTCTGGCATTTATTCTACAGAGCATACAAAGCTGATTTGCACTTACAGCCAGTGAATGGCAGTGTTTGTGTTCCTGTATGTTGCGGATAAAAATATGTTCATAAATTTAGCCTTTATCTCAATTAAATTCAATGTTGAATCCAGTTAAGCTCATTATTTTGTTGTAGAGTCAATATTTCAGTTAAATCCACTTGAACTGTGTGAATAAAGACACAAATGCAGTGAACTGTGTTGTATTTTGCTAGTTATAGTTTTGTAGGTCAGTTTTTTGGTTCTTTAAAGCTGCTTTACTACTTTCAACAGCAGGAGTCGCGTCTGAGGCTGACGCATCCGAGGAGCTCGCGCTTACGGTTTTCCGTCTTGTTGGAGTCTTCTGATTGGCTGGCTAGCTGAATGTCCTCTAAAGCCAGACAGACACTGTGTGATGTTAGAGATCTTGTTCTTTGGTGACTCTCACTGTCCGTTTGAATAGACCATCGTGTTCAAACAAAGCTACGGCTTATAAACTCACACTGTACGAAACGCTCCGTCTGACTGACCTGCTACGGGAAACGCAGCCTCTACAGACGCTCAGTCTACAGACCGTTATCAATAAAGCTGATTCACTCAGAATAACATGCCTAGAAACTTAGACCCTGTTTACACTTGGTCACTTTAAGCGTCTTGAGTATCAGGATTAAATCTGGATGAGGGCACATAAAAATGTGAATGTAAACACAGCCAAGACGCCTTTAAAACAGATACAGATCTGATCACTCAAACCACTTCAGCAGGTGGAGTAAGTCAAATCAAGTCAAATTTATTTATATAGCACCTTTTGCAACAGATGTCACAAAGCAGCTTTACAGAGAATCCGGGTCCGCGCCCCCAGTGAGCAAGCCTTGGCGACAGTGGCAAGGAAAAACTCCCTCAGCAGGAGGAACCTTGAGAGGAACCAGACTCAAAAGGGGAACCCATCCTCCTCTGGTCGACATCTTCCTCTGGACTTTTTAAAAAGCCATCATATTTTATCACACTTTAATCAGACGGATGGTATCAGCCTGAGAACCCAAAACGGCCCCACTGAATGTTGCTGATGTTGGTGTCTCTGCATGTTAATCAACTCTTATATGGGACTCTTAAAAGATTACATTCCTGATGGTTTTCGCTGAACGTCAGAGAAAGATTAGTTTTAGATGTGAGTTTGTGATGTGAATTATCTTCTATTCTTAAGACACGCTATGCAGTCTGTGGCCACATCTTCGGTTGTTACAGTAAGTGCTTAAATGTCCTCCCTTAAAGCAAGGCAAGTTTATTTTTATAGGACTTTTCATACACAGCAGCAAATCAAAGTGCTTCACACAACTACAGATAAAAAGCCTCAAATAATATTAAATAATAAAACTGATGTCCTGAGATTTCGCACCTCAGAAAGGCATTTCCAGAAATAAACATAAAACTAACAGTGCTAAAGATAAAAGACACTAAAATAGAAATTAAAATAGAGCTAAGATGAAGTGCAGAGCTAAACAAAGCCACAAGAAAACTAAACTGAACTTAAAGACGGCTGCATTTGGAGCATCTGACCTGCTGAATGCTGCATCACCCTGGTTGGGTATTGATTCCGGGCTCTCCTAACTGACTAACTGCCCAGACCTCAGTGATAACCTGTGTTTTTGGCTTCTATAATTATCAGTTTTTAAATTTATACATCTTTAACTTTGTAAGTTTAACTTTGTACATATCAGCCGTCTGATTTTAACTGAGTTTTCTCTGGACAGAAGTTGTATCTGTGCTGAGCGGACGCATGTGTTAGGGTGCCTACACGCTAGACAAGGCAAGGATGGAGCGGTAGATGCATACACATGCAGATCTTGGCATTTACATGGCTGGAGTGGGTCGGAGTTTGTACAGCTCGAAATCCAGCGGGAAACAAAACCAGAACCATATGAAATATGGGCCATCAAAAGAAAATGGCCATATACAGAGCCAAGTAGAGAACAGCTACGAAGGCAAATAAGTCATATCGAACAGGAAAAGAGTGCACAGCATCGCTACCAAGTAGTCTCTCCTTTATCTTGGGTTTTCCTCCGTCATCTGCCTGAGTCTGCCCGCCCACATTGGTTCCATGTCAGAATCCATTGCAGCAAAAATTGAAATGGGTTGAACTTTGATCTGTACTCAGCCCCCTCTTGTATACACATGACTGTGTAGCCAGACACACGTCTAACATCATCTTCAATTTTGCTGATGACACCACCATCCGAGGCCTCATCACTGATGAAGCAGCCTACAGAGACGAGGTCAGCGCTCTGTCAGAGTGAAGCCATGACAGCAACCTCTGTCTCAACATCAGCAAAACAAAGGAGATAATCGTGGACTACAGGAAGCTGCAGAGGGGTGGTCACTCTCCCCTGTTCATCAATGGAGCAGAAGTGGAGAGAGTCAGCAGTGTGAAGTTCCTCAGCGTACACCTCACTGATGACCTCACCTGGTCCCTCCACACCAACACTATTGTGAGATCTGCCCGTCAGCGTCTCTTCTTTCTGCGCAGGCTCAGGAAGTTTGGTCTGCCTCCTCAGATCCTCATCAACTTCTACAGATGCGCCATAGAGAGCTTCCTCACGGGCTGCATCACTGTCTGGTACAGCAGCTGCACCGCCTGTGACCGCAAGGCCCTTAAAGCAGCGGTGAGGACGGCAGAAGCCATCATAGGCAACAAACTACCAGCCTTACAGGACGTCTATCAGTCCCGCTGCCTCAGGAAGACCAAAAAGATCCGGTCAGACAGCGTCACCCAGCACACGGCCTGTTCACCATCCTGCCATCAGGCAGGAGATTCCGCAGCATAGAGGCCAGAACAACCCGGTTAATGAACAGTTTCTACCCACAGGCTGTCCCCAGTTACCATTTCACTCGGTCACTTTGTCAGTATTATTATTATATCACTGGTACGGACAACAACACCAAGTCACTTGGTCATATATATATATTCTTCTCATATTATCCCTTGTTTAATATATTTGTACACAGCAGAGAGTTCTTCTACATAGCTCTCTCCTGTCTCTGTATATTTTGTGTATATTATATTTAATATATTTTAGTTTTAATATTATCTTTTGGTAGTTTTACTTTGTTTTGTCTGCACTGTTTTTAGTATGTATATGATGCTGCCCTGCTGTAGAGTGATTAGCTGAGCCTCACCAAGCGTTTCAATGCATGAATGTCCTGACATGCAAATGACAAATAAACTTCATCCAGTCAGATCCACTCTATTCAGTTCTAAATTTGAAAATTCATTCCAGTCAGATTTACTCTATTCTATTCTAAAATTCCATTCGGTCAAATTCATTCAGATCTGTTGTAAAAAGTGTCAGAGAAAGAATGGACTTGACTTGAGCCTTAGCTAAGTGAAGGCTATGCAATGATGATAATTTTCCTAAAGTCCATTAACCCATCTTTGATTGTAGGTGCTGAAGGTGTTAAAACTGTCCTTCAGCAGCAGTCTCCAGCACAGCAACAGCAGGAATCACATCCGAGGCTCACGCATCCGAGGAGCTCACACTTCCAGTTTTCCGCCTGGAGTGTTTTGATTGGCTGGTTTAGCTGTAGCTGAATGTTCTCTAAAGCCAGACAGACACTGTGTGATGTTAGAGATCTTGTTCTTTGGTGACTCTCACTGAACGTTTGAATAGACCATCGTGTTCAGACAAAGCTACGGCTTATAAACTCACACTGTACGAAACGCTCCGTCTGACTGACCTGCTACGGGAAACTCAGCCTCTTCAAACTACAGAAACCAAAACAACCAATCAGATCTAGCCAAAACTCCATATTGTGTCTATAAAAAAAGATAATTCACATATCAAACCCACATGTCTTAAACGTAATCTTTCTTTGGAAATTCACCAAAAACCATCAGGAATGTGAATCTTCCAAGAGCTCCACAGAAGAGTTGATTAACAAGAAGATACACCAACATCAGCAACATTCAGTGGGACTGATTTGTAGTGTTATAGTCAAGACCAAGACAGGGACACTTTGAGTTCGAGTCAAGACCAGATTGAGATTTTTTTCAGAATAAAAAAATAAATTCATTTGTAGTTAATTTTACATTCATTATCATGAATTATACATACTAATATTGTATGCATAATACATACATCATCTAAACTGCTTATCCTTCTGGGTCACAGTGGGGTGCTGGAGCCTATTCCAGCTGTCATTGGGCAGAAGGCAGGATACACCCTGGACAGGTCACCAGTCCATCGCAGGGCAGACAGACATATACATTCACACACACACACACAGGGGCATTTCAGCACGTCCGATTGGCCTGACTGCATGTTTTTGGACTGTGGGAGGAAACCGGAGAACCCGGAGGAAACCCACGCAGACACGGGGAGAACAGGCAAACTCCACACAGAAATGACCCTGGTCACCCAGCTGGGAATCGAACCCAGGCCCTTGTTGCTGTGAGGCGACAGCGCTACCCACTGCACCACCGTGCCGCCTGTATGCAGAATATATTTTGTAAAATATAACATTAAATAATATATAGTCTAGAACATTATTAATTGTTATTATTACTGTATAGTCTCAGTCAAACTTTGCATTGTAACTGGAAGCAGTGGTGAAGTTGTTCTCTGTTCCCTTCTCTAAAACTTAGTCCATCCACCTAAAGTCAAATGAATGTAAACTACATCCATTTTTATTATTAAACGAAAACATAATAATAGTAATATTCTCTAACTATGACTATTGTGGAGAGAGGTTAATGTTACATGCCACAGGACTAATATTACACAGCTACATAAAATAATGAAAATAGCTGAGAATACAGCAGAAATAACCAAAGATTAATTACAATTAACAATGTTCAACAAATATCAGCAGATTTGTAAACAATGAGCCATAATGAGCAGTGAATTTCAGCTCTCACTAAAATGATTATTCTGTTAGTGCTGGTAATATTTTCTGATGAGGAGCTCCACCTTAAATGGTGCCTGAATGTCTCCGTGGCCTGAGGCACCAGAATGTAACTGCTGCATCTCTTAGAGTGGAATGTTTGAACAAGAATCTGGAGAATAAGAAGCTTCATGTGATTTAGGTTATCAAAATATCATACCTACAGTTTTATGAGGAGCTCTACCTGTAAATACATGCTATGGTTGGACATTTTGACAAATTAGAACAGTTCGTCAGAATGTAACCCCTTTTAGCCCACTAATGAACCACAGCAGCAAC